TCTTGTTTCGTCCAGGTTATCCTTGGGTGCTCGCAGAAAGAATTACCTATTCATTTCCTGTTATAGAAAACATCGATGATTCGCAATAATTAGCAATATTTCAAATCTGAGGCGAGATCTCCGCGATTTCTTCCGGACGACTCCAGAGAGTATTTCCCATGATGACAGTCTATAGTGAACTTTGGCACCTCGTAGGAGGATTTCGCATTTTGATCCTGAAAATAACTACTTAGAGATATCGCAGAGAGTTCCGTCTTACCTGGGAAACATATCATATTTATATTTCACAAATATTTTGAGGTTTGTTGACTACATTTTCTATTGATTATTTTATTGTTTCACACTGTTTTGAATGCCACTCTATGTGTTTAGGAGTATTTTCAATGATTTTTCAATTACTAAACTATTGAAATTTCATGAATATTTATCCTAAATATCTTGGTGTTGCATTTGAAATTGATACAAATACTGGCCAAACCAGTATAATTTCATTGATGATTAGGGATGGAGCTAATGCAGAACACACACTTGTCAAAAACGTCTCTAGCATGCTCCATGAAAACAGCTTTGTAGAGACATATATATCACTTGTGATCTCGCAGGAGCATATCTTGTTCAAGTCTGTGATAAAACATGGCACATTGGAAATGCAGCAGTGTTAAAGTTGCTGCATGTTTTGATCAACTGGGTATAGCTTATATGTTTATTTTTACAAACTCAATGAAGTTTCAATTTTATTGCGACATTGCAATTGAAAATTAACTGATATAGTTCCATATATGATTGTAACGTTGCACTGATATTGTTCGTATAGTTATCAGTCCATGAGAATGTTGCAATTTCAATGAGAATATATATAGTTGATGCAATATTGCTGTTAGTACAAAGATAAAAGGGTCACTTTGTAACTTGCAAACGATTCGTCAGTAGGTTTTTCTGTTACATTGCCAACACGAATATAGCAGCAACATTGATACAATATTGATGTATTATCATATTACGGAAGAAAGCTTTTCAATATTTGTGGCAATATTCTGTAACATCATACATATGTTTAGTGAGGCAAGCATACAAAATACCTGGAATTATAATTGTGGCACTCAAAAAACTCCAAATGTTGACCTAAAATGATGATTTTCAGGGATTCAAAGAGCTTACCTTGAATTTCAATCCTATTTTATTGTTGGTATCTTGGTTTCCCAACCTGTGGTATATTGTAATCTAAGAAAATGTTTGAATAAGTTGCATCGATGGCTTGAACCATCAGGCAACAACAATGCAGACCGAAAACATACCTACCTTGAAAATTATGACAAGTTATCAAAAATCATCGACACAAACTTTCACACCAGAGTTTTTTTTTTTTTTTTTTTTTTTTTTTTTTTTTTTTTTTTTTTTTTTTTTTTTTTGCAATTGCAATTGCATACCTCGTTGGTCCCAGCACTGGGACCAAACGCCCCATAAGTCGAAACTTGTGCGGGGTTAGGTATACATACAAACACAAACATCCATGGCCTAACTAGGATTCGAACCTATGTCTCGGTGGGAGTCCCCATACGAACTCAGCGCCTACCCGCTCTCGACCACCGAGCCGAGAGTTAACACCAGTGTGTTTTTATGGTGCATGGACCCGGGGCTAAAATTGAAAATCATCAGGAAAACGTACATGCTGAATCATAATCTGTACCGATGTCTTTCCAAAATAAAATTCGATTATTCTTCTTGTGGAGTTCATCACTGGGTAGGTATAGAAGTAGAGTCCCTGTATGTATTTGACAGTTTTGCTGTTATAATAGTACGAATAACACTACCATACCTACACTTACTGCTACTGACACACACAAGAATGCTTATTTGAATGAAATTTTAGAGAAGTAAAGGGATTCGGACTCGACAGTCGGAAGGAACGGTAGCTAATCCCCTCCTGTATAGTATACACTGAACTGAGTAATGCGACAGTCATGTATTACTTGTCAGACAGTCTAGATATTTAGCCGTCATTGACACTTTCCAGATCTAGTATTTTTTCTAGGTGTGATCTAGTACTATATATTTTCAGTCAAGAACAGCCCTTATACCAGCTGTGTGAAAGTTGCAGCCAAACATAGCAGCCAAAATTTCCGAACATTGCCGAAGACCCAGTGGCGGACATGTTTTTTATGCCTCCAAATACAAAACAAATTTTTTGAGGGTATTATATTATAAAGAACTGCTGCGATGAGATAGATTTCAAAAAAATTCAACATACCCAATGAGCTGATCAACATTTTGAATATAGAAATCACCTCGCAGTCCTATACATAAAAAATCATTTGTGTGAGTGTGAGTAAAAACTGCTGCGATGGCATGAACTGAAAAAAACATTTAAACAGATCTGAGAATTGATTCTCTCATCGAAAATATTCCCGTTTCTATGTATGTTAATTATTTTTCACTCTTTCTCATCGCAGCAGTTCTTATATTTTTTCGTATTTAGAGCACGAAAAACGAAAACATGTTATCCGCCAATGGGTCTTCGGCAATGTTCGGAGAATTTGGCTGCTATCGTTGACTGCCATTTCACACGGCTCATGATGCCTATGTTTATTTGTTTATTTAAAGGTGGATAAATTTTCATCATGGTTTATTTATATAGTCAAACTTCAAACTGCAAAATTATCAGCAGGGTTTTAAGTTCAATGTTATGATATTATTTGTTAATTCAGTTTATTGCTTGTTTATTATTCCGGCTAGAAAAAGGTGATATTTTGAAAAAAAATTTATAGAATACCTTATGAATTATTAGCTTGTTCAGTTTTCATTGTAAAATTCCTGATTTCTTGACAAAATTCTTAGGTCTTCTACACAACACATAACATTCAAAAATTAAAATTTTTTCACATGCTCCATCATATATTTCCAGAACTTCACTACCAGAATAGATGAAGAGTTAGCACCAAGTTCATCACATTCCTTCAGTACATCACTCCTAGTTCCAGGTAAGTAGATATGAACATAAGTTGTTTATCACCTTCATTGACTGACATCATCTTGGAAAAATCAAACAGGCTATACAGGACAGGTCCTCTGCTGACTGATAATGTGTATTATTGATTTTGTTTACTTTGTACCTACTTGAGATATACTCAGATGAGTACAGCTTTTGGATTTCTTTGAGTTCCTGCTTTAGTCTTGAATAGACAGGTTTATTGTAGGTACTTCTTTCATCATGGTAATACTGAGTTTCTTGATGGATTTGTTTATAGAATATTGAATATTATTGTTCCTAATTAGGAATAAATAGGTTGTTTCATGAGTATTAGGATACACTTTTTGCATCATTCAATCATTGAACTTGG